AATACCGTCTTAGGTGGAACTGACGCTAACCTCACCATATTGATAAATATATCGATTCTAATGTCACTGATAATGGGAATGCAGCGAGTAGAGCAACACTGGACCTAGATATGAAACTGAATACAAATCGATGTCACAAAGTCACTTCTAACTCTACTTGTGACCTGAAGGTTGCCAATCTCCATTTTCAACATCGTCCACATGCCTTGGCAGGATATGACAGTAAGAGCATAATGCAAGACTGATTGAGCCATATTTTACTGCACTGCCTGGATCAGGTTTCTCGAAGGTCACTGGAAGAACTCCAAGGAGGAATCCAACAGCTAAATGATGTGAAATGTTCAGCTGAAATGAACCTGAACAAAATTCAGGTCATGTCTAAAATGCGTCACCTGTTGAAATAAACTAACTTAAGCTTGAAAAGATGCAAAACTCTGTCTATCTGAAAGAGCTCATCTCTGCAAGGGGAACTGACTAGCTGAAATGAACAAACAAGGCATGGATCACTTTTGGAAGACTGAAAATGTCCCTCTCCGGAAATCTGTCCATGTGTTTGAAACGGAACGTATTCCACCAGTGTGTTTGCTCCTAGTGCTAAACTATGGTTGCGAAAAACGTTTGATCTAAGCTTGAAAGCTATTCATGAACTGCATAGTATGCAACGCAGCATGGAAAGATATATGTTGGAATAAGAAGAAATGATAAGAAGAATGATGAATGGAAAATTGCATAAACAAGAGGCTGTGATGTCGTTGACCGAGTGAAGAAGTTAGAATGGTAATTGGCAGGACACGTTCAAAGGAAAACCGACCATCGCTGTAACGCAGAGACAAATTAGACTGGATCGAAAGAACGAGTAAACGGCCAGTATGATGATTTCCAGATCGATAGCAGAATGACCCAAAAAATTCGTAAGATCAAGATGAATGAAAACGGCAGAAAAGTTAAGTCTGCGACAAAGTCTCGGAGAGGCTTTCATTAGGTAGTGGACCGACAGAGGCTCATGATGATGATGTTCAGGTTGCTTGATGACCGTGGGGAACATAGCCTTAATGGCCTAAAGACGTTAAAGCCGATGTCATGAGGCTCTTCATGTAGCATCCTCATAGTTCTGCGAGTTTACTGGAAGACAGGCTATTTAGGAAAACTTCCGCCGCTGTAGAGTTGAGTAAACTAAACTGACTGGTATGATCAAAATGCTGCTATTGTTATTGTTGCCTCCATTGTTATGAGAAAGCAAAAGAAGCAAAACACAGATTAATACGATTTATTCGCACGGTACAGATAGACAGTTTCATCACAAGTTAAGCGGTTGCAACTGCTTCAGCGAAATGGCATCCGAGGCCCTGTAACTGTAGTGTTCCCAGTCTCAACTCGGTGCGCTTTATGTTCATTCCATGTGTCGACGAACACAATGTGACAATTCTGCTTTTTTAGAAAATCAATAATCAATTTGTGCAGATGTGATGCCAAAAATATGGCCACACAAACAATCAGGAAGCCAAGACTGGTGCAAAACAGTGTGAAAACAACTTTAATTTCTTGGAGTCCCTTACAGATTTTGGAGATCTTTTCCGCCATACCATCATACACGCGGTATGCACGTGCATACAGAGTTCCGAAGGCCATTTCAGCATATTCGGTCGTGGAAGCATTGCTATCGTTTTTTTCGGGAAACCGCATTACTATTTTTCTTAAACGGCTCACATACGCTGCCATTTCATTTTCAAGAGCATCTGCTGCCTGTTCCAGTGTTCGTTCGGCAGTTTGTAGTTCTACTCCTTCAGTGGCGGTTTTCTGCGATGTCCCATTGCTTAGAGATGGCGATTCGGAGGAGTTAACTGGCTTTCCAAAGGACTGCCACCAGGTAAGCAGGAAAAGAAAAGAGATGCTCAAAAATTTTCTGAAATCCATACCCGGAATCAGGGTGAAAAGTGAACAACTCCACTACTTCCGCAAAAAATTTAACGTGGAGCACAGTTACAGTCTGTCCAGCGTGTAACAAGCAAAATTCACTGACAAAGTGTTTCCCATGCAAAAAATCTTTTAACCACACTTTAAAACAATTGGAAAATGCAGTTTACAAATCTTCATGAGCATATAATAAAGCTTAAATTTTTAAAGTGGCACATTAAACAACCGGTTCCATGCTGAGTCTCTAGGAGCAATTCAGAAAAAATTCATTCTGACAAGAATAACGATATGAATTTACAAGTTTCGAAATGGTATTACATTAATATATGTCACAATGTATGAGCTCCCCGTGAAGTGAGAGCCTGGAATTGATGCAGAGGTTCACTGCGGTAGGTTCAGATGGTGGTGCTGCTCGACGATCAAATCTGTGTGTGACCGAAACTTCACAAAGTGATCCGATTCTCTCAGCCCTTAGAGTGAATGAAGGTTGAGACGATGTCGGCAACGGTTCAAAGCTGTTGATACATAAATGAACTGTCGAACGAGTTCACTTCGGCCACTGATCAGCGGCGAATTGTTTATTTGACATACTGCAGCGTACAAACATACAGTAATGCTTGTTGAAACTTTAATTAAATTCCTTCCATTCATTGATCTGTGTTACGCAACGAAATATGGTTTCGTTTCTTTCTGAGACAGACTTCTTATTTGTATGTTAAAATAATGAGCTTCACGCAGTAAAACCCATTTTTAATGCAATATTTACTAAACAATAAATTGCAACGTTAACCTTTAAAATCTGTGCAACACAATTTGAAGGTTAATGTCTACTTTAAGGATGCCAACTCGCATGTTCCGTGTACCACAACGGGGTGAACTTACCGGACCATCGAACGCTATGGAGCTTTCCATCTCGTCTCAGAATCCTGCGCTTACGAAAGGAAGGGCGATTGGAGGTCGAATGGGATCCACCGGTGCCAATTCTACCCATAACGCCCCCGCTGCCGAATATGGTCTATGTGCTATTCTGCAAGATGACTCGAAGAGTGCAAGGCTGGTTCCCACTGAATCACACCATATCGACGCGCTTCCTGACACGAAACTCAAGGATAGTCAGGGAAGGGCACGATTTCATGGTTATTGCCTTCAACCGTGATGGCAAAGCAGCAGTGGTAAGACCGCATGCGGAAGAGAAAGGAGACCATGCCACGATGAAAGACCAAGTGCCAGAAAAAACGAATCCACATCAAAAACAGCCATTAGCCGACAGAGGAAGCCCGTTGCCGTTGAACACCGAAAGCACGGGGAACGAAAATCCCACAACGCAGCTCGTCTATATCTTGAGCACTTTCGGTGCCGTCGTGGCATCCAGTCTTACCCTGACCCTGGCGGTTTGGCAAATCTTAAAATTCTTATGTGAACACCGTCGTCAGGGGTCTGTATCAAGTCTACACGCACTTCAGTTCAAAAGAAAGTCTGATACTGCACTTCCAGGTCATTTGTCAATCGCTGCTGAAGAATCAAGGACGAACCTGCAAAAAATAGCGCCCATTCTGCCTCGAGCGCTGGAAAATATCTTTTACATGACGGCATCACAGTTTTCTGACTCAAAACCACAAGCATCGACTTCAACCAAGGCGGCTGCAACACCTAACTACCATAACCATGTTGGTCAAAATTATTAATATCGGTTGATAAGTGGCAGAACAGAGAAAGTTGCAAAATTATAAATCATTGACAACAAACTTTGCCGCTGCCAATTCATGAAAGTACTGCTACGATATAACGTTCATGCTTATCTTTATTTTTAATAGCTGTTTGTAGTTTTGTTTTTCAATTACCATGTACAAACATAATTATTTTCACATTGTATATATAACTGTCCATTACCGATATATTTGTTTCTGCAAACCACTATCAGACATTGAAAAAACACTTCATCTAATATATAGCTGCACTGTCACTACAACACTGCTCATTAATCATTAAGTGGCATAATACCGGTTGATGTACATCTTGCTGTCATGAAATTTATATAGTAAAATACTTGTTTTTAATTGAAGCATTTACTAACACCGAGAGTACCAGAGTGTAACTGGGTTTAAACTCGACAAGTTCGCTCGTTAGATAAAAGTTACAATGACCAATGGCAGACTGGTGATGAGGCAAAAGCGAACCACCCATTTTGAGAAAAACATCGTCAGCATCGTTTCAACCTACGGTTAAACATCGGGTCGTCAAAGACTAGAAGAGAAAACTGCCATAAAAACCAGACAGAAGTGGGTGGGATGTCTGTATGAAATTCGCCATCGTCCGCCAACCAGCAGGTGGCGACAATTCATACGATATGACAAGTTAACGTATTTCGGCTAACGGGAATCGTTGACAAATATCAGCCAGTCCAGGTAAGTTACACATGACGAATTCCCATTTTGACTGATGTACCAGTATCAACAAGTTTTCGCTTGACCATCTGCCATCTCACAGTCGTCATCTTCTACAGGTTCAAATTTGCCTGTTTAATTTTAAATTCAATAATCTATATGCAAGCATACTGCAGAAGGCAAAATTATTTCACTGTAGATCGTAGAGCTTGAACCCGCCTCGGTTCTGAACCTGCAATTACCTTCAACGTGCTTTCCAGTTCTTCAGGTATGTATTCCATCTTTTCAGTTGCCTTTCTAGCAATGACGTTTATTCGTATATCAAACAGGTCAGCTCACCAGCTCATTTCGACGTTATGGACGAAATCTATCAGGGTGATGACCAAAAGCTAGGCTGATATTTCATGCATTGCTAAGTAGATAAGTTATATTTTCATTGTTTGATCAATGTCAAATAATGCAATGATATACATAACCAAAAGCCGCAAAGTAGGTTGCGCTTGGTTTAAAAACAGCAACTTTTGAACCAGCTGATCGTCATTACATATACCGAAAAGATTATCAAAAAATATGCAGAAAAAAGTTCCTTGAAACTTGATCGGTATTTTTGGAGAAGCAAACCTTATCAGAAAACAGTTACACAAGCGAAAGCCATCTGAGCGCTCAGTGGACTTTCAAAGCCATAAAGTGCATTCCACTCAATCACGGAATGTCAAGAAACGTCCGTCGGGTTTTGTCTTTGTAGTAAAAGTCCGGTTCCTCTTCCCAGATGCCCAAATCCCGTTCGATCTTGATTTCGTCCTGCTTTTTATAGTTGTGGTATTTCAGCAAGTAATTAATTCGCTTTAACAAGTCGTGCCAGCGCTTTGGTGCATTTCGTTTCATTCGCTCGTGATACAAATTACGGTAGTGAATCAGTTTGATGAGTTCGTTGGCACGGTGACTTCCTGGGAATCCCCGAAGCCAAGGTGGCTGGTGATACATCAGCTGCGCCGGGTGAACGCTGCCATCACCGAGCAAATCTATAAGAAGATATGACCATCATCTAAATAGAAATAGATCACATACATACATCTTTAAATGTATCACATCTGTCAAGTGCATTAATCTTATGTATCGTGGAATAAACCACAAACCAATGAGAGAGATATAACTCATCAGCAGAAACAACAGAAGTCAGAAGAGAAATGCAAATGGAAAAAATTTTTAGAACGTCGCGAACCAGAAAATTAAACTATCAACATCTTGCAATCGATTAAAACTAAGCTTCTTTCAATCAATCAAGGTTGTTAGGTTGTAAGTAACAGTGGTTGCCGTTAGCACATATTAGTCATTAGGATAAATAATACTATCACAACTAGAAACTATACACAGGATATAATATTTCCGATTAAGTCCAGTTTTGCAATGAATGATCATTTACTATTTCTGGTTAAGGTACCAAACAACATAGTCATTTTCACTACTAACGCGTTTTGCTACACACTTCGCATTATCTGTTACAACTAGACGATAAATAAGCAGAAAACAGACCGCTGCTATAAACCAAATTGTTTAAAAATATTTTGAGTAAATAATCCTCTAAGTGAACGACGTTACAGAGCAAGATATAAAAGCTGTTTATACTTGATCGTGCTCATAATTTTCATTTCTACTACCTTGATACAAGACTAAGAACCGCGCTCAACTCGATGTCAAGACAAAAGCAAGACACTGATTCACTTAAATGCATCTTATAAATGTGAGCACCTTATAAAATATCGGTTATACTTTATAAAACAGCTGTATAAGAGATCATCTGATTTTCGAAAGAAACGACGTAAGGTTGCAAAACCTGTCTAGCCCAAACTTCACTTTTGGTGTAAGCCGTTTTCAACAGCGAATAATCCTGACACTAACGAAAGATAACAGAGGAGTGAGAGCAGATGCAAATTCACAATTAATAATTTGCGCTGACGAAGGAACATTATTATGAGTTCTGAAAACTTCACTCATTAAATACATTTTTCAAAACTTCCAACCGTCACTTTTTTGTTTTATCATTAAGAACCTGTTTATTTCTTTTCGAAATGAAAGAACGCCAAATATTTTCATTCGCATTATTTTACTTCTAACTTATTTCAATGAAACATTTACATTTAATACACATTTTTATGTGTATTTACACTTAATACACAGTTTTGTATATTAGACACTAACAATGGACCAGTGAATATATACTCTTCTTGATGCAGAAAGTCAATCTACGTGAACGCGCTTTGGAATTTTAAGAAACTGCCATAATACGCCAACCCTATGTCATTCTTGAAAACGTCTCTAAAACGTATGAACTGATCTAATCAACGAAACATCAACCTACTAGGCGGCCTTTTCCGGATTGTTATATTTCATCCAAGTTTTTATTTAGTACTTTTAGCAATAAATTTTACAACGTACTTTATAACAATCACTACCTAATTCTTACAGAAAACTTGACAACCTCATATCGGTAGGGGGCAGATTTAATTCATGACTGATAGTGCGTATCAACCATGCATCGTAACAAATCGTTTGATGTTTTACGAAAGAGTGCTACTAACTCCGAGACTTTACCAGCGAGCAACTTTCCTTACCTCCGCCACCAACTACATACCTATATAGTCGTTTTGACCAAAGAGCGCCTTTTCCTTCGTCCACATGTCTCTTACTTTGTATGGCACCGTCTTGACCGGCACCATGCAATCTTTCATACGAGGAAGTGGTTGACCTGAACCGAGCGAAAGCATTAAGTTATATAGCAAAGAAAACACCACACACTTACCTTCTTGGTGATAATTCCAAACGTAGCCGTAATCACTGACTTTCAAATGAGCGTTCGTACGATCGCGAACACGAGGTACCTTGCTGACGTCGTGTATGGCTCGCAACGGAACTCGGACATCGCACTTCGCGAGGTACCGTCTTAGGCAGTTGAACATTGCCCCTCAGATACCAAATCAGACCTGCAATGGAAATTAACTGGCTTTAAAGTTCCATCGTACAATCAACCCAATTCCTACTAACCGAATGACGGCTGAGAATTGAATTCATAACAGTAATAGCAGGGATAGCCCAAATCTGAGAAGAGACGTTTTGAACGATTATCTTTGAAGCAGTAATTTTTACACTTTAAGCATGCTGATAAATATGTTGCTCATGAGCTTGAAACAATAAATGTACATTTTAGGTCGCGACAACAAGAGTAGTGGATTCCACATTAAAAGTAACCATCACCTACCTCCATGCGATGAATGAGGCATATAGTTCAGCTTATATGTAAAGCGAACTAAAAGAAAACAGGTATCATTTACATATAAACATTATCATTAAACTATCATGATCTCGCAATTACGCAGCAACAGTAGTACAGACTTGCCTAGAAGAGCAATGCTGTTTTAAATAAACAGTTTAATCAAACCAGCATGTAGTGGTTCAGTGAACTTGTTGATCTTTCGGAAGAGTATTAACAGAGCATTCCGTAACATTACTACATATCTAACGACATTCTGCTAATATTTTTCAGACTGACAACGGATACAGCTGAAAATCACCAACCAAACGTGGTAGACAGTAGGTCTGTGTCTTGCGGCACTAAGCTGCATCAGAATCGCTGAACCTGTCTGAAGATGTTTCGATCGGTTTCTTGGTCGCTGCCAGAAACGATGGGGTTATGATTAGACCGCTGTAATCAAAAACCCTCTCCTTGTACCCTCACTACATGTCCAAGTAGGGCGGTCTTCCACTGCTGATTCCTATAATGATGGAAGGCAACCAGATGAACTCAGCAACAGTCAAGTTTAGGATGAAGTCATGGACTTAAATGTACTGCCACAATTAGCTGAGTATTTTGCATTCTTCATGTCCCTTAGATAAAGAAAACAACGACGTTGAGAAAGCCGCTAGTGTGATACAGTGTTCACCTTCCTCCTATTTATGAAACACCCATTAGTACACCGTAACCGCTTAATTCATCGTGCTCATTGATCCCTCCCGTACCGCATCGATATCGTCGATCATTCCACGATGTCTTTCGCCAGTTGTACTCTTCATCAGGAGAAACTAGGGGATTATAATCGGTTAAGTGACACTTAAGTCAATTTAATCTTTACCTGTTTTGCATTATCCACGTGAAGGTATAACCGGATTTTGAAGAAAGAGTTACAACTTTCTCAGGCAAATTATTGGAAGCTTACCAGAAGAACTGAAAGCGAAAGAGATCCTCTTATTTAACTATGATAAGATGAGAGAGCCGGGGTACTCAAACTGGTCAATCTATTGAACCATTTCTTCTCCCTGTTCCACTCGCATATCTGCTGTGATGGAGTGGTTCCTCATAACCTTTGGCTTCCGGGCGTTAAGGACGAGGCCAGCTTCCGCACTTGTACTGCAAATGGAAGCCATCAGGTGATAACACACGCTTCCCGCACTGTGCATATTCTGCGTCTGCAAGACATCTCGCAGATATCTTGAACTGTGATGCCTCACGGAAAAATGTGCTCATCATCTTTCACTGCGTTGACACCGTTTCAGAAGAGAAAATCCATGACAGTGCTCAATACCAAAAGCTACAGAATATCTCCATGGCGAGCTCAAGAGTTAGTAATTAGCTCTCTGAAAGTTCATATTCGACCTTAATAGAAGACATTTCGTAAATACATTCTTTCCAAAACGGAAATGTGCATACGAATCGCAAAGCACTTTTAAACCTCCCAGACCGTCAGACGAAACACTGGATCAAATTCAGCCTCAAGAGTTGAAGCAAATGGTGTCCAAAGCACCTGCAACTGTTGGCACCGTTCAAAGATCCTTTGACCGTTCAAATTTCAATGTCATAGTTCAACTATTCTATAATTCACCTAACGTAATACAAACAGCGAGTGCTTCACAAACGAGCAACGTTCACTTCATCATGACTACTGTTTTGTCAGCACAAACTTTAGTTAAATAAAAGCATTTAAACGCAATGTCACATGTTCTTAATTACTGAATCAGAAGAGAGAGAAAGAGAACCTAACTTTTGGCAGATAAAGCATCGAAGGGCGGAAAACAGTGATTCTGATATCACTCAATTAATTATAAAAGAATAAATGTAATTTTGTAAAACTCAATGGCAAAAATGAACATCATTAACGAAAACAAATCAGCTTAAAAAATGGGGCAACTTTACATTCCTGGCTGAAGATAACTAAGGATTATCAGAATATAATTGTCAAAATTACTTAAACATAACACTACAAACTTTCTGAGACGAGGTTATTAGCTCAAAATATAGTTCATAATTTTTAAATTGATGTTAGTTCTTTACGGCTGAAAATAACCATTCGACACCAGGCGTTTCAACTGGTTGGTTTAATTAGTTCATCGAGGATTCGGTCGGCGCAATACAAATGATGGCAAATGGACATAAATTTCCATTACTCTAGGGTTTGTTCCTTAGAGATTTAAACCTAAAAAAGGAATTGCTGCAGTTTTGAATATATCATATGTACGATCACAAGAAATTTAAATCAGTTTATTTTACTAATGGATCTACTTTCGACTGATTAAGTTTTTTAGCTGGCAAGCATTGCTATATTAAGGGTGGAGTTTTCTCATCTGTTCTACCATGGGGTAACAAAGTTATGAAAACAAGCTCATCCTTTGCAACCATAGCAGAATCATTCATAAGGACCAAACTGCAGAGCATAGACATCGGTAAGCAATCACGGGGAGAAAACAGGGGGAAGAAAAAACAAAATAAACCTGGACATTTACCACTTATGGCTCGCATTGCTATATAACCGAATAAGTCAGTTTAATTTACAGTTCATTATTTTTTGTCATAAGTGAACTCATACACACATTTCACGTGCAAATTTTCATAATTACTAATATTTCCGTAATCGATATCATTTAACGCTCCTGATCCACGAAGAAGTGGAATAGCTTAGGTACGACCTACCATATAAGTGAAGCGCTTCCTTCATATAAAGGTAGATACGGATTGTGGTCCTAGTTTAACAGTCACATACTTCCTGTTCCTCTGCTAAGCTGCCTATAAATAAAATAAAAGCTGTGTACCTGTCCATTGATATGGAAGAGGTGTTATATGTCGTACATAAATCCAGTGCTAAGACTACGATGAGGTATACACTGGAAAGACCTACTGAAAATTTTGTTTCCGGATAAGAGAGCACCTATCCGCACCTCGCCTTGGACAAGCGAAGAATTCCTGTACTGCCCAACATATCATCACCCAGAGGCACTCTTTCAGTCAGACAAATGTGAGTCATAGAAAATACCTTCTGAATTAGGTATGCTGGTAAAAGAGTCCTTTCTTGACTGTAATAGCAATGATATATAGGATATGCAATAGATACAACAGGTCAGCAAAACCTAGATCCGATTTGATTTTAATGTGACCTTCACATTGCGCTTTCTTTAATATTCTGGGGAAGCAGTTTAACAGCGCTTTGTTTGTAAGGCATGTGATAATTGGAAAGCAACAGTATTGTTCGGATGCTGGACATAAATGAATTAGAGCCATTTGTGCACAGTGCTGATGATGCCATGAAATATGTAGCGAAACGCGTTTGCAATAAATCTTTAACCATCTACTAAGACTTCTGCCCTGATTCATGAGTCATTCAACCACCTATTATATAACTACAGGCCCAGAATGAAAATCCTGAAATCATAATTACAACTATTAGAAAATCACATAATATAATTTAATATGTAAGAAATCAGTTCTTAGATGTTATATATGCTTCGCACTATCTGCATTATTTCTTTGATACCGTCATTTCATCGA